AATTAAAATTTCCAGTTTAAAGTTAAGCATGCTGTTGATGATCATTCAAAATATCGCCTTTTTTTGGCAATATTCTGAAGACATTCAAGAACATGAAAGAAACATGGGGGTTAAAATCACCCTATGAAATCCATCTAGCAGACAACATTCGTTCCTTGCTAAGCTATTTTAAGTTTGAACAATATAATTAATATGAAGTATTAAAGTTATATGGCATTGGCAGAGCTGAAATGCTCTAACACTTTTATCAATACACTACTGGAAGAGTTCTTTTCCCTGTTGAATTTAATGAAGATAAATTATTAAAATGGTGCTGAAATTTCAAATTCCCCAACTCTCTGAATGTAGTTTTTTTCATTTTCTCATTCTGCAGCAAATCTGGCATACATAATCAGTTACAGACCACTCACTTTTAAAATAGGCTGGTATTGCTTTGTCAGTAGGCAAATTTGTAAAACGAAGGCAAAAACCCAGCCCTAAAATAATCACTGCGGTGGTATCTTCATTTCAGCACGTCCTAAGTCGAACGCTCCTCAGCTGTTTAGAAATTGTTTTCAAGACCTTGAGTAGCAAGGAGACCCTAGTTCTCAGTCATTGTGAGCGACTAGGTCTGCCCGAGTTTCTTGGGCTGTGAAGCTCACACACACACTGACAGACTGAACTTTGCTGAAGCGGTTGAGATAATCAAACAGATACAAAAGGTTGGAAAAATTTTAAACATTAATTGTTGGTTTTGCTTCCCTTTTGGTTTCACCCCAAAACCTCAAATCTAAGAGGGTCATCCCCACCAATCTGCTGGCCATCTCCCGCACCTTCAGAGGCACCCTGTCCACTTCCAGCTCTTTTTCTCTGTCCTCTGTCGTGTGGGTTAATGTGGCTTTTTATGTCACTGTTATTTGAGTGGGTTACTGGGAGAGTAGAAATGTTCCTTTTTATTACAGTGAGTGGAATCAAATAATGCCTATTAATACAGCAATGAAGTCATAGAATAGACCTCCCCAAACTTTCCAGTTATTATTGCTTGCATTATTAAGTTGCTTTTTCCACTCATTCCTGATTATTTATTTATTTATTTATTTATTTATTTCTGATACAGGGTTTCTCTGTGTAACTGTTCTGGCTGTCCTGGAACGGCTTTACAGACCAGACTGGCCTTGAACTCACAGAGATCAATTTGCCTCTACCTCCAGAGTGCTGGGATTAAAGGCATGTGCCACCACCACCCAGTGAGGAAATGTTTTAAAAGATGAGAATCACATGGGTTGGGGAGTGTAGCTTAGTGATAGAGTACTTACTCAGTATGCTCAGGGTCCTGGCTTCAGTCCCTAGCAACACATACACACACACACACACACACACACACACACACACACACACACACACTGAAGAACAGGCAGACAAGCCCTCAAGCAAACAAAACTAAAAACAAACAACCACCCCTAAACTAGTGAACAGCAACAGAACAGTGGAGGATGCACCAGAGGTTTGCCGCGGAATTCTGAGCTTGCTGACCTAATGCAGGAGCCTGTTACTATGTGAACATGAACATGACTTAGCTCTTGGGGTCCTTGGCCGTGTGGAATACATGCCTGAGAAAGTTGACAGTGCAGTTCCTAGGAATTCTACCTCTGACTACCAACAATTTCTGCTTGTTAAAGGATCCATTTTTCAGGTGGACTGTTTTCTGTGTACTTTTTCTAACCACTTGTCTTAGGATAGCTTTTTTTGTTACACAAAGTGCTAAAGAACAACTTGGATAGAATTTACAGTTACTCTATATTATGTATATATATATGTATAATACATCTTATATGTTATATGTATTATGAATATATAAAATTATAATATATATATATATAATTGAGAACCATGTGAAGAATTTGAAATGCAATTGCTGTATGCTGACCTGGATTCTCAACTTGCTGAGATGTGTGAACCCCTTTGTCCTTATAGGTTTCAGTGTTAAATACACAAATAGAACTTGGCATGCTATATATGAGTCAATATTTATAAACAACTTTGCTATTTGAGAACTGAGGAGCAACCCACATATAGAGGACTTACAATATGTGATATCATGTGTCTTCCCAATAACCCGTTCAAAAGGGAAAATAAACCTACTAGGACAAAGCCAAGTGGAGAAGGCAGTAGGAGATGTTCATGCAGTTTTTAGGAGGTGGGCAGCAGGAAGGTCAATAACTATTCTCTTATGTGTGAACACCGCTTACTCCATTGAATTATTTTGAGAGGAAGCTGCTAATGGCAAGCTGGCTCATGTTATTAAATCCACAAAGGTCCAGGGGTCAGTGGCATCTGGGAAGGGGTGGTGAGGTGAAATGTGTACTTAGAGAATAACTAACGTTACCCGCCCCGATTCACTCCTTACCCACATAGCCAGGCGACCACCCCATCTCCGGTTGGTTGAAGTAGCCAGTATATAAAAGCTTGGAGAGGGAACGGGCAAAGAAATAATAAAAGCCTGCTTCCTAGAGGGAAGCACACAAGCTGTTTCCAGTTCTGAGTGTTCTTGAGAGTTCGATTGATGGAGATGACACATCCATACGAAGGCTCATCCCAAGACTGTGGACATGGAGCTGAATAGGAGTTCCTGAAGTCCTCTTAAAAAAGAAACAATAGATTTTATAGAAAATGCTTAATGCGGGAAATGTCTCTGAATCAGCAACATCAGAAACAGAAGTCTATAGGTTTCTGAAATTCCAGGAGGAAATAATGGTCAGTTTAGTATTTCCTACCCAGCTTGCGGCTCTACTGTGAAGGCTGACAAGGAAAGGTTTACGCTCATGACTGCTCACTGAACTTATTTATCATAAATACTTTTCAATAAAGTGTCAGACACTGTGTGCCTCTCTAAGGAGGATGGTGGTGATGACTGTAAGTGAGGAAGACGTGGAATTTAGGGTCCAACACAGAAGGCAGGCAAAAAAAGATTCCACAAGTTTCCAGAGAAGTCTTGTATGCTGCCTCCTAGTGGGACCCAGAAAACAAAGGGGTGGACTGAAGCATGGGGCGGCAGGCAAACACCAGAATGTCCCTAGTAACAAAATGAGCATGCCGCGTTGACTGATACCTTGAGCACAGAAGGAGGAGTTTTAGATTACTCTTAGAGGCTAGAGGATGTTAATTACATATAAAACAAAGATGCAAATAGTGAAACAAAATGTCTCCTCGAATTAAAAATGTAGAAAAATAGAAAATGTAATGGAACCATTGTACAGCTCTGAACACTTTTCCAGAGTCACAATATGAACACCAACTAGCAGCTCAGCCCAAGACTGGCAGTGTGTATTGAAATGTACTGGGGTGAGAGGGGCTTTCTTGAGTCTGTATCAGGGAGATACTTTCTTGTTTATTTTTTTATTTTAATGCTATTGATATATAATACAAATACAACTGAATACTTTTTGTTTATTTCTTTTTTTTATTATTTAAAACAATTTTTAAATTGAAATATATTTGATCATATTCTTACCCTCCCTCAAGTCCTTCCAGGTCCTCTGCCCCTCAATACCCACCCAACTTTAAGTTCTTTCTCAAAGACCAATATAAAAATGAAACATAGCAACGAAACCCCCCTCAAGCCAAGAAAACAGAACGGAGCACAGCTCACAAAGAAAACAAGCTGTGGCCAAATAAAAGCACACGGAAACTGTGGAGGCTTGTATGTTGTCAACTACTCTTGAACATGAGGCCTGCCCTGGAGTAGTTGATATACCCAGTGTGCTTCTACTGGGGAAAAATGGTTTTCCCTCTCTCAGCAAGCATAAATTACCTTCACCCTAGTGGCTAGGTATCCATTCATTCATTTGTTCTTTTTAAAAACTGTAACAAAAGACGATATAATAAGATAAAACAAAAACTGTCACTTCAAAGTTGTACAAAGACAAATCAACACGGGGAAAAGAGCCCAAGAGAAGGCACAAGAATCAGAGGCCCGCTCCTTCACTCACTCGGGAATAAAAAACGCTAAGCTGGAAGCCATGCTGTGAGGGCAGTGGTCCTGGTGCAGTCTGGGCGGGCCCCTGTGTGTGATGCTTCAGTCTGAGTTCCTAAAGCTTTGCTCATCATTTAGAGGTCCCCCAACCTTCCTGGCACTTACATTTCTTCCTCAGGGGTCCTGAGCTCTGAGGGAAGCAATTTGATAGAGACGCCCTCTTTAGGGCTAAGTGTTTCAAGATTTTTCTTGAATATGTATTTTCTTTATATAATGTCTGGCTCTGTGTCTCTATCTTTGTTCCCGTCTACTGCAGAAAGAAACTTTTTTGATGATGGCTTAACAAGGTGTTGATCTATGAGTACAGCATAATATCATTAAGAGTCATTTTATGACTACCATTTTTCTTTTTCTTTTTTCTTTTTTTAAGACCAGTATTACTTAGTTTTATTCTAGGTCCCTGGGCTATCTGGTCTCAGATTCTTAATCTCCCAGGCAGTGTCAGGTATGAGTTCCATCTTGTGGAGTGAGCCTTGAATAAAATCAGTTTTTGGTTGGTTACTTCCTCACGTTTTGTGCCATTATTGTCCTGGCCTATCTTGGAGGTGGTACACCATTGTAGATAAAGGGTTTGTGGTTGGTTTGGTATTTATGTTTCTATTTTGATAATGTAGAGAGATCTTAGGAAGATAATTTCTAAAGTGGGGTGAATCAGATGATAGCAGTAAAAGGATTCTATTCAAAATGTGTATAAACACAAGTAGAAACATCTGGAAGAGTTGTGGTGTGAAAAGGAGAGAGAAAACTACTGTGTAACCACATCTGCTTCTGTAATCCATATTTAAGAAATGCAAGGGAACTTTATCATTTGCTTGGTTTTATTCCCCAGGAAAGCCCCTTTCTCCTCCATTAATCGTATGAAAATTTCTGACTTTGAGCTTCTCTGGCAGATGCATTCTCGTTCTTGATGGCCTTTCTCTGCAGAACTATCAGAAGCAGAGTTATCGACGTGTGAGATACAGTCAGTAATTCATTCTCTGTTTTGTAGGGTGGAGAACACTGTTACTACCATGGAAGCATCAGAGGCGTCAAAGACTCCAGGGTGGCTCTGTCGACGTGTAATGGACTCCAGTATGTGGGAATCTCCGTGGGTCTTCTTGACCTCCAGGCTTGCTCATATCTACTCATTCTTTCTAGTTTTCATCTTTAAGATGTTTTATCTTAGTGACTTTTCTATGTCAGTGATGTGTTGGGGGTTAGATAAAAGTAGTTCCAGGGAGCTTAAGTCCACACTTCTATAACACCTGTACAGGAAACTCAGAAATTAAACAAATGATTACATAAGTCAGTAATTCCCATTTTGTTTGATTCTGTGAAGGGAATGGAAAGGGGTGTATTAATTAGCTCTCTGTTACTGGAAAAAAATGTCTAAGAAGATCACCTTATAACAAGAAAAGGATTATTTTAGCTCAGGCTTTGGAGGTTCAAATCCATGATGATTGCCGTCATTACTGTGAGCCACTTTAAGGAACCACATCACTGGGGGTTTAAAGTGTGGAGGACAACAAAACTGCTCAGCATATGGCTAGGAGAGAGAGGAGTGAGGAGACTTTGTCCCACAGTACCCTGCAAGGCATTTCTCCCGACCCCCGCCATGAACTGAAGACTTCTTACATGGCTCTTGATGCTTACCTCATGGCCGTTCCACCACCTCCCAGTATCACCCTGCTGGCGTGAATCCTTAGTAGTGGACCTGTGGGAACGTGTAAGACCCAAACCCTAGCAGGGAGCTAACAGAGTGACTCAGTCTAGTCAATGCAACACCACAGGTATGTGTGTCAAAGGACATATGGGTAGACTTCGATCTGAGTCTCACTAGGCACCAACCAGAGAAGGACGGGATGCTAAGAGGCATTGTCCAGAGGCAGACTCTTTGAAACCGTGCACACACACATTTTAGATTCATATTAAATAATGCCTCGGATGAAGAGTTAGCTTTGTGATCAAACAAAAAAGGGTCTTAAAACCCTTTTCAAACTTTATTTAAAATAAATCTCATGTCTCCCTAAGTTAAATGTGGTTTCTATGGCATATTACATAAGAGGCATTCACAATTTACAAGTGTAAGGATATTTTTACCAGCCTCTTCAGAATCAGAGATGGTTTTAGAATATTCCTAGATGACGGAGCGGTCAGCTTTCTCGCAGGTGATACATAATTTGCATAACAAGAAGATTATACTAGTTGCATATGGTTCTAAAATAAATGAGCCTTCCCCATGATGTGGGAAATCTTATCCCAGATCACCATTGTCATTGGTTTATTTTTAAAAATGACTTATGTTGTGTGGAGTTTGCACTCTCTGGGGGAATGCTTCATGCTTTTGTAGCTTGCGTTCTGCCCAGCCAGAGTCCTTGGCGCGCTGAGACCTTGGCAGGACTCCCTGCAGCTACTGGGAGTTCATGTGGGACTGTATAAGGGCACCGCTGAGATGCCCCCTTGCTGACTGTCTTTCTGATGCCTTGTGTTGCAGCGGCATGTTTGAGGACAACACCTTCGTGTATATGATAGAGCCATTGGAGCTCGTTCATGACGAGGTGGGTCTGTGACGTCGATTTTCTTCTGTCAGGTGAAGGTGGAACACATCCCAGAGCATTTATCCATGTTGTATGATTTCAGACTTAGACAGCACAATGCCAGACCCTCGTGCCCGTGGCGGCAGATCAGAGGTATCCTACTGAGGCATTCTGAAGCAAGCTTCTTCTTTCTGGTCTTTAGAGAGGGCAGGGAGGCCCTTTGCTTTGCACTGGACCCCATAAGACAAGCTTTCATTTCCAGTACCCTCTTTAGATAATTGTCTAAGAATATTCTTACTTTCTGTTCCTAGAAATATTTAGTGGGGAAATCTGTGGTCTGAGCAATGACTACTTGATGCAGCACACAGTTAGATAGAGATGGAGAAGGAAACAGTGCTTCATCCTGTTTAGGCCAGCAGCCATCATCAGAAACCCCGTGTTCCAGCCAAGCTGTTCACTGACAGTGTTACCAGCTCTAAAGTCTAATGTGTAGACACCAATATTATATGGAGAGCTTGCTACATTTTACATTCATGGTAAAACTGATGTCCCGAGACTCAAGAACAGGAATGCAAAAAATGAGTAAGAGGTCACACACGTATTCCAGACGGTGACACCCGCCGCGGACAGCAATGGGCCACCGCGCTGTGAGTGTGGGAGGATCTTGAGTAAAACCCTCCAGGGAATCAAAACTCCCAGAGCGGTGAGGTTACAAAGGCCCTGGGCTGGGCGCTGCTTGCTGTGTTCTGCCGTCTTTAGGAAACCTGACTGTTCAGATAAAGTGGAAATTGGCAGGCGCAGACACGGTGAGGTCACAGCAGGGGAGGCAACTGATACTGAGGAAAGGTATGTTTTGAGTGATGGTCACAACCATGCCGTCATTCGATGGAGAGCCGAAAACCATTTTGGTGGGGCACAGGGCGTCATCATACTGTCCTGGCCTCCCGAACCTTCTGCAAGTGCTGCCGTGTTCAGATTGAACATTAAAGCTTTTTCTTTTAAGACTATTGCAGTCAGTGAGGAATTAATAATATGTCTCTCTCTCTCTCTCTCTTTCCATCTATTCATCCATCTATCCATCATCAGTGCATCCATCTACCTATCCACGTACCCGTCTATCTATCTGTCTGTCTACCTATTTGTCTGTCTATTTGTTTAATATGTATGAGTGTTCTCCGTGTGTGCAGTGCTTGAGGAGGTGGGTAGAGGGACATCAGAGCCCCTGGAAGTGGAGTTACAAAGGATTATAGGTAGCATGTGGGTGCTGGAAGCTGAGCCTGTGTCTGTAAGGGCAACAAGAGCTCTTAACTACTGAGCAGCCTCTCCAAGCAAACATCTAGGCTTTTGACAAAAAAGGGCACCATTTGTTTTCTTGTGTGTGTGTGTGTGTGTGTGTGTGTGTATGTGTGTGTATACCTTTACACATGTACTCACATATGACTGTGGAACAAACTTTCAAATTTGAGACAGAAAAGCCATTAAATTGTACAAGGTGATATTTGAACAAGCCTATATGGATTTTGATGAATAATTTTAAAACTTTCTAGGCAAGGATGACAGTTTACCCTAGATTAATATGTCCTGACGAGCAGACGCTCTCCCTGCTCTGTGAGCGGGCAGATAACCACACTGCAGCAAACCTGTCAGACACTCAGCAGAACACCTGATTTCAGCTGTGATCAACTTCTCTCTTACCTCCCTCACCAAAGAAACCCCCGAAGAAAGCAACGACAATAAGTCCAAGATAGTTCTCTGAGCTTTCTCGTTTTAAGAATGTGTAAATGAGGTAATTTCCAGCGCATCTGTAATAGGACAATTTTTGCAGACTGGTGAATTCATGAATGTGTTGCAGTATCCGCTGAACTGCGGAAAGGGTTTATGTACATGTAAACTCTTATTATCAAAATGTTTAAAGAACTGGTTCTTCACCGCCGTCGCTGCCTTATTCTGCTTCAGGCGGATGGCTACGAGCTTATTATCCTCTGTTCCCTGCCTGCCTCCCACTGCCTCCCTTTGTTCACAAATGATTTCTTCTTGTTCCACTGTGGGTGGGGGCAAAGGAGCAGAACTTGAATCTTGAAATTAGTTGTAAAAATCGCGTTGCAATTCAGAAGTAAGCTTCCCTATGCTAGGTGCCTTTTTATGTTCCCAGAATAAAAGAGCTGACTGAAAGAGAATTTGGATTTTTGGATGGGCACATTATTATTACTATTAATTTTAGCATACTTTGTAGTAAGTTAGAAGTATGGACAGGATAGTTCCAGTGAGAATTCACATTCTGTTGCAAATGGAAATAAATAGCAATGTCCTTAATTATTGTTTTCAATATGTAATCAAATGCAATAAGAAGGGCCTTTTTAATAGATATTTTTATGATCATAAACTAATGTATTAGCTGAGTGTGGTGGTGTATGCCTGCCATCCCAGCTACACAGGAACGTGAAACAAGAGAAAGGTCAGATCAAGGCCAGCCTGGGAAGCTTAGTGAGACCTTATCTCAAATAAATTCAAACAACAAACAAACAAACAAAAATGAACATCGGAAACAACACCAAACAAAACAAAACAAAAAACAGGCTAGGGATTGCTTAGTGGCCCAGATCTTGCTTAGTATTCATGAGAGTCTGGGTTCGATTATCAATATTACAAAAACCCCCAAATCTAGTAATATATTTGGCAATTTGAAAAGCAAAATACTTAACTAAATAGTAATGATCCACCATACCCTCCCCAAAGATAATGGCTTATAACCTTCAATTAGACAATTCTCTATATATTCTAATACATTGATTGAATCGTTTCATAGCACAACTTAACCCAATCATGTATCTTCTCTGAATCTCAGTGTTTTTATTTGTTAAACAGAAATGCGGTGGTTGATCTAGGCTGTCAACTTGATATACTAAGAAGAGGGAAGCTCAGTTGAAGAATTGTCTCCCTCAGCATGGCCTAGGGAGCATTTTCTTGATTGCTGATTCATGTAGGATAGCCACGCCCACTGTGGGTGGGACAATCCCTAGACTGGTGGAATTCAATAGGGATCCCGGGCTGTGTAAAAAGGTACCTGAGCCAGCCAGGGGAGGTCAGGCAGTGAGCAGCCCTCCTCCATGGTCTCTGCTTCAGTTCCTGCCTCCAGGTTCTGGCTTCAGCTCCTGCCCTCAGTTTCTTCCGTGATGGACTGTAACCCTCAAGCTGGAATAAACCCTCTCCTTCTCAGATTGGTTTTGGTCAGTGTTTTATCATCGCAGCAGAAAGCACACGGACAGGGATAGAATACAGACCACATGGGCTTCCTGTTGGGAACAAACTGGGTAATGCACACATCGATGCTTGTTGGCAGGCACTCAGCACTCCGCTTCCAGAGCAGCTCCCACTCCTATGATAAGGAGTCAGTGTCATGTCTAGGCGAGGGATATGAGTAGCTTCATGGCTGCTTACGGATATTTTCAAAATCTTTCTCAAACGATGCTACAGTGATGTGTGAGTACGTTCTGCCTTGTAGCTGTAATTAACTATGGATGTCGTAATTTTTAAATCATTTACAGCTTGGTGGGAAAATTGCTGTTCTAACTTTCTGAAATTTGCGTTTTAAAAGCATATTAAAGCACCAACCTTTCCTCATGCTGCTGGACATTCTGCTGCTTCTTTATATGTTTCCCACTCGGGGCTTTGAAAGAAGCTGAGATATAAGAGCAACTGTGCTTTGATCTGAAGTGGGGCGGTTGAAGGGCACTGTTTTATTTAAAATTAAAGATCAACAAGCATATCCTTTTCCTTCTGATAACCAACGCCCCCCACAGTAGAAGGCTATTAGAGAAAGCGTCCTGCTAACACTGATGTCCAGTGTCTTCATGTCTCACTTCTCCATTTCCTACAATTGTCTTTGTTTCAGAAAAGCACAGGCCGACCGCACGTAATCCAGAAAACCTTGGCAGGACAATATTCTAAGCTGATGAAGAATCTCAGTAAGTTTTAATTAAAACAGTCATGATACGTGCTGCGGGCTGTGACTTGACAGACCGCTGGAGTCGCGCAGCCTTGCTGGGAAGGGAAATTGGTCTGAGAGCTGAGATCAGCAGCGTGGGCGGGGAGTGGAGTCCCAGCTGAGCCTTGCATGGGATGAGACATCGAGAGATGTTTCAGTGGCGATGACAAATGAATTTCTGGCATGAAGCTGGGCTGGGAACCTGAGTGTGGCCAAATCTAAATTAATGATTGCTTTCTGACCCGGTGGACGTTCATGCTTACAGTTAGCTTCCCCGCCACTCTGCGCCGCCTCCGCTGTTCACCCTGCCCTCGGAGCATCTGTAGCTGTTTAATCAGGGCAAAGGCTCCGTTTGGTTTCCTGTGGGCATGAGATCCTATGCCTGTATACTAATGCCCAGAGTCTTTCATAATTTATACAAAACTTTATGCCACATATCATTTTATATTCTAAAGTAAATTGGGACTGTGTAGTAGAGTTCATATGATGTTGTTAAATGGTTGTAGGTCAAACCGCTATCATCTGATCAACCTTGGACACCTCATGTTTTTTAAGATTAGAGGAAAATAGATTTTGAGCTGTCTTTGTGAGCGTGAAATGTTGAACAGTCTATGCACGGTTTCACTACAGGCTGTTTTGGCTTTGTGGTGACGCTGATTATCAACGGTGCTGTTCTTTCATGTAATAAAATCCATTTGATGCTCGTTTTCCTCTTACACAGGCACAGACGGCAGTGACCAGTGGCCTTTGCTACCTGAATTACAGTGGCTGAGAAGAAGGAAGAGAGCAGCCAGTGTGAGTGTGGCCTGGGCCGCGGGCTTCCCCTTTCCCCTTGGGAGTCTGCTCCACCCTGTCTAGACTTTCCCCTTCAGAACAAAGACTGCAGGGAGCAGCCTCCGTCTCAAGAGCATCTCTCGCACAATGCTGTTTACTCTTCTCTCCCTACTGATTCAAACTGATAAGAGTGTCCTGTGAGCTCTGATGTCATGTAAAAACATGTGTTGTTTCAGTTCTCTTTTCAGTGTGTTTTTCTTATAAAAAGGGGAGTACATGTTTTCCTATTGAAAACCACAGTAGGGCTGCTGAGATGGCTGAACAGGAGAAGCTTAATACCCAAGGTTCCTTCCTTGGGACGGAAGGTGAAAGGAGAGAGTTGATTCCAGTAGTTAATCTGTGACTTCTAAGTGTGCTTGCCCTCCTGATACAAACAAGCAAACAAACAAGAGAGTGCACAACAGCTTTAGAGATAATATTGATTACACAATGTCATATAAAACATTTCTGTTAAAAATTAGTAAGAGTTGGGTTTTGAAATATTGGCCAGTCAAGTTTGTCTTCCTTGCAAATGAAAAATGAAAAGAACTCTGTTACACCAAACTTGAAAGCTGGGTAAGCTTTTCAGAACAGAATGGCTGAAAGTCATTTCTCTACTGGTGATGGGACAGTGGCTAAATAAAAGTCGGGAAGTGATAGAACCAGTTACTGTTGCATGTTTTTGTGCACTAATAAATGCCTAGTGGCATTGTAACTAAATATGTTCATAGGCTTTTGTAGTAGATTAGAAGCCTGTAATGAGTGGGATTGTTCGGTAATTACATGGTGAATGCCATCTAACCAAGAATTAATTCTACAGCTTATAGGTTACACAGTAATTCTCTAGATAACTTAACGAGTAATTATAGCACAAATTACACATTTTAGGTAATACTTAGTTGAATGTATTTTTTGTGTTAAATTAATTAGACCCCCCAGCGATCTAAAAGTTAGTTCAAGTTTGAATCATTTTCTTGCATAGTGTATACTGCTATTATGGTAACCATGAATAACATTTTTATGTTCACTTAAGTGATCTTTGCTTCCTCTTGAAAGAGCAGCTGCCTCATACAGCTTCCTTTCTACTACCCTCTACCCCAGATGGACCTGTTACTGTGTACACTAAGGAAAAGAACCATCATATTAACTTCTCAACTGTAAAAAGAAATACATGTGAATGAGAAGCCCAACAGCCTCTAGTCCTAAAGTGTTACCTGCCAGCCGCCATTCCTGTTAGTGGCTGGGAACTGGTACATTGTTACTAGACTTCTATTCCATTCTTCTAGTTCTTGTTTACCACTTAGATTCCTGTGTCAGAGATGCATGATGTTCTCACCAAATGAATTTAAATTCCCTTTGACATTTTAAGTAAATATGAATATTTTATCATTTAATGCCATAGAAAGGGAAGTTTATTTACTTTTGGCTACTATGATATGCATAGCATCTTTTCCTCTAGACTAATTTCATACAGAAGAAAACTACACAGACAGAAACAACATGATCTGTTTCCTATTTCGGTGAGCAGCGATAGTGAAATTGTCTTTTCTAAATTCTTGTTTGTTCACTGATGCTTTCTAGTCACCTATGCACAGGCTTCTGGTTTGGGTGTTTATACTACAGACAATGAAGAGTCCTGAAATCCAAGGCTTACCTGTAACGTGACCGAGAAATAGAGAGGCTTTATGGCAATCACTGTTCTGACCATGCGTCTCTTATTTTCTTTAGCCGTCACGTGGTGTATTTGAAGAAATGAAGTATTTGGAACTTATGATCGTTAATGATCACAAGACGGTAAGACTATAGAATTGATGCTGTCCTAGTCACTGCTCTGTTGCTGTGAAGAGATGTCATGACCAAGGCAACTTATGAAAGAAAGCATTGAATCGGGGCCTTGCACACAACCTCAAAGGGCGAGTCCATGATCATCAGGTGAGCATGATGCTGAGCAGTAGCGAGAGCTTACATTTGATCAATAAGCAGGAGGCAAAGGTGGAGGGACTGGCATTGGCTTTTAAAGCATCAAAGCCCACGCCCAGTGACACACCTCCTCCAACAAGGCCACACCTCCTAATCCTTCCCAAACAGTTCCACCAACATATGCCCATGGGACATTCTCATTCAAGCAACCACAGATACCCAATAGCTTGTGAAACAAAAAATGCATTTCACTTTAGCTGTTACTTGTACAGTAAAGTACCTATATTTAGACACAATCCTTTGGTGAGTCTAACAGAGCATTGTGTTCTAGATGAGAAAGAGATAGTAACTAATTTTTACAGCTATAATTTATCTCTTTAATAGAGATTACAATGGAGATATTTACCAATATGATGTTTATCACTTGTCTATGTTTAAAATGCTTACTGTCTACTTTTCACATCTTGGTGTTTGGTCACTGATTCATTATTTTGTTCCATGCCTTTGTTCTGTGCACAACAGCTTTAGAGATAATACAATAAAATGCTTATACAATGTCATATAAATCATTCCTGTTACATACTGTGTGTGTGTATTCCATCCCTAGCAATGAAAAAACAAATAAACAAACAAATTAAAGGTCTATCTAAGAGACCGTTTTAAATCAGTGTTTTATTTTACAAAATATCAACAATATAAATAACTTTGTGTTACACGTGTAAATGTGAAACACGTTGCACTCGGTAACGCTGAAGAGAATTATGGGCAGAAGTCGCCACTCTCCATTTGAGCATCCTACTCATTTTTTAGATTTTTAAATACACTTTTAAAATATTGGCTCATCTCCAGTGTTTACCTGTTCCCGTGGTGGGTGATTTCAAGCCATTAAAGTGAGACTCTTGATTTGAAGCTAGGTAAGGATGTGACTGAGTTTTTCTTCTGCAATCTCCAAACTCTTTAGGCCAGAGATTATTTTGCTATAGTTATGCCGTTCAATCCTAAAAATTGCTAATTAATTGACTTTAGTTGATTTTACAGAAATGGAGTTATATTTTTGAAAGATTATGAAGATGAGAACTTTGGAAAAATATTTAAACATCAGTTATGAGTAAAATTTTATAAAATATTGAAATATAAATTTAAACAGTATCAAGTCCTTGTTTTATGAAAACCCAAGTTAAACTTTATGATAAAATTGTACTTTGTACTAAGCTGACCACATGAAGTTGCAGTCAACAGTCTCTTCAGAGAAACCCTTGAGACTGTACATGACAAAGGCTTGCACATTGAAACTTTTATTTGAGTCTTTTACTTTAAAGGATGTTCAAATTAATTAACATTAATTACTAAATATTAATTCAGTTGTGTTGAAAATAATTTTCCCCATGGAATTCTTTTTATTTTTGTAGACAGGCTTAATTTTCTGCCAGTCTTTAAATAAACTTCTTGAGATATGCCAGTAAGAAGGAAAATTTGTTAGAATTACATATACCTGAAAGTCGTTCCTGGTAAGGAGAACCGAGTGTTAGGTGGTGACTCGCTCTGGGAAAGACTCAAGTCTGAGTTCCTGAAGGTTGATGGGGTGGGGGGGGGCGTCTCCCTCTTAGCCCCTTTTGCAGGCTGAGGTTTTCCCAACTACTTTTCAAACCTGATGGTTGTGCATGCTGTGAAATTATGTCTTTAGAAGCTTGAGCTTTCCCTAACATCCATTATACAGACCTTGTGATGTATGGATACAATAAGTAAGCTGTGTACCACACTGTTGAAGGTGCAAAGTGCACGTGCTTTCTGCCCACATGAGTAGCTGAGAACATCAGTTCTATAAAGGTTTATTTTGTTCACTGTTATTAGTGTGTGTGTGTGTGTGTGAGAGAGAGAGAGAGAGAGAGCTCACAAGAGTACCACAGTGTCCCCAATTGTGCATAAAATGCAATAGCTCCTTCCTCAAAAAAATATTATTTTCTACAGAGAAAACTTTATTTGCTTATGCCACATATTTTGTGGTAAAAAAAATCACCATCTTATTTGGGGTATAATATCTTTTAATTTATTTTAAACATTTGTTTGTGTGTGTGTGTGTGTGTGTGTGTGTGTGTGTGTGTGTGTGATGGTTGTAGGCATTCATGGTGTGGAAGTCAGAGATCAGCTTTCAGGGAGCAGTGTTTTTCTTCTTCCTTGTTGCTTCTGCTGTGCTGCGCTCCAGACCATCTGGCAAGTCAGCCTCCACTCCCTGCCTCACTATAGGGTGCTGGAATTACAGATGCCTGACATCAATTCTGGCTCGCGCTCTCTCTCTCTCTCTCTCTCTCTCTCTCTCTCTCTCTCTCTCTCTGTGGATTCAGAGGACTAAACTATTGTTAGGATTACGAGGCAAGCGTTTCCTCACTGAGCCTTCTCAACAGTGCATATCTTTTAATTAAAAAATAATTTAAGCCTTTAAATCAACAAAAGTTGGGTTTTCATTGCAAAAATTTATATTGGATGAGAATCGGGCATGATATTTTAATGGTGAATCGGGGAGATATATTTTCAAAATGAAAACAAACAAACAGCCTTGATTTTTGGATGGTGACAATTCCCAGGATAAAATGAAACAGACTGAGAGTTTCTGGCATTTAAAAAATGATTGCTATGGACTAATAGCGCTAAATGTTCCCCTTGCCTCAAGACCAGGTTGCATTCTGCATTCGGTTCTGTCATCGTCCCGAATGAATATTCACTTTTAAGAATCCTCATAGGAGTTGAGAAAAGCCGTTCTGGAGGAAATCTTTTTATCAAGCGAAGATGTACAATATAAATCGCTGCAGAAACGCACTGACTGGGTAGGGAGCAGAGCGCCGCCCTCCTGGGCGCCAGAGTGAGCTGGGCTAAGTGAATCTCTCAGTTTCCTGTGCCTGGAGACTGGCTACCGGGCTTTAGCGTGACCTTCCCGTCACAAACCCCTTCTCGCAGTGTTTGTACTGTACGAGTCAGCGGGATTTTATAATTCTTACCTTTGGGTTGAAAATAAGGTTCTGCTTTAATTGTTTTCAAAAGGGCACATTTCTTAAGGGGCTCATTTATTCAGGAAGTGAAAGCCAATTTGCTGGTTTAAATGGAAATGGTTTTCAGTGATCAGAAAATGTGAAGGTAAGTTCTATCATAAATGGAGCCTGCACATTTTTCTTTATTTGCCAAATTAGTTCTCATTCATGCAGGAAATGGAAACATTTTGCCTACATTTGCATTAAAGCTCCTCTCTTTAATATTGGCTGCCTGAAAAATTGCACCTATCGTATTTTGAACAAGCAGCCCAATTATCAGTGGCTTTCAATTAGAAAGGAAAAAAAATTTCTCAAATTTGGAGACAGCATCTTGGTACCTAGCTGGCGGAACCGAATTTGTGAGCAATTATAGCTTGATAACAGTCTGCAAACATTTCTTTGAGCTGCTTGAGCTAAAAATAAATATTAAAAAACTGCCTAATAAAAAATTGGTTGAGATATTTTAAAGCACATGCAAAGCCAGTGTTTTGCTTCCATTACTGCTGCGTTATTAAATATGAACCAGTAAGTGAAAATCAATGATGACTCAAATATTTTTTTCAATTAAAACCTCATTTGGTTTTCCTTATTTAAAAAACACTGTATTTTTTTATGCACCAAACAAATTACAAATTTTTATCAGTAATCCTGACTTGTTGGGGCTATTTAATAAACAGTAGCTTATAACTCTTTCATAAGAATTATTAACTGAATAAATTAATCTCATCTTCCAGCTCAGAATAAGACAAATTTGTTTTCAGCCCCATGATCCAAGATAAATTATTTGAGGATTAATAAATCTCACTTCCATAAAGCTGTGTTGAAGGAGAGACAGTTGTTCATAGATCCTAGGTGCCCAGGAAATGGGATTTCAAGTTAATAAAACTAGTGTTTTCTCTGTGAGGCTGGGAACCCAGCAAGTCCCTGTCCCTGAGCTTCCTCCCCTCCCTGCATCAATGAATACAGACCTCCCTCCCTCCCTCCCTCCCTCCCTCCCTCCCTCCCTCCCTCCCTCCCTCCCTCCTTCCCTCTCTCCCTCCGTCCCTCCCTCCCTCCCTCCCTCCCTCCCTCCCTTGAACAGCTTTCTTCTTTTCTGGTTTCTAAGACAGCAGTCCTCTCTCTACTATTTATTCTAACTATTATATAGCTGACCTCTCAGATTATGTGTCTGCCTACTCTCCAGCCCCAACCTCTAAATTGAATCAGGACTCTGTGGCCCTTCCTGACTGACAGCTTCCAGCTTGAAGTCTTTAAATAGGATTATGACATGAGATCTTCCAGCCCTTATTTCAGAGCTCTAGACTTCTGAGTTCCGTACTCAGGGAACTCACTGTGAACTCGGTATCTTTGCTTTGGTACTAAGCAGGCCATTCACATTTGGTACCCTCCCCTAACCCTAACCCTAACTGCACTGGTCCCAACGTGTCTTTTGAAATTCATGGGTTAAGAACAGTTTTCAAATTCACATGGTCGTGGTATTCAGAGGTAGGGTCTTTGGGAAGTATCTAAGATTATATGAGGAGAAAAAATGTGATTTTTATTATAAATATACTTAATCCTTCTGATAGATATAATGGATTTAATAACTATAATTTAAGATAAATTTCAAAGACTTGCATAGTACAAAAAAGTTATTAGTTTAAATCATGTTTTTATTTTTTTCTTGTGGTTGTAAAACTAGCAATAGCCTCATGGAGCAGCTGAGGTCATGGTGCTCCTAAAGCAGACTTGAGCTTTCAGAGGTCCTCCTCTTCAACATATGTTAAGTAAAGTATCCGACTTCCTGATAAAAATGCAGCCCGTTAGTGGGGGTGCAGAGTACAATGGTAGAACATTTGCTCCACAGTGGTAGAATATGAAGTCTTGGACTGTGTCCCCTGTACTACAAACAAAACCAAACCTCCCCGAAACCCAAATTAATGCCCATAGATGTTTTGCTCTGTTCTTGAGACAGGGCCTTGTTCTTGAATGCTTGGACTCACGGGCTCTTCCTATCTCTGTCCCCTGAGTGCTGAGATTATAGGCGTGCATCACCATACCAGGCCCACATATTGACATATAAAGCACTTTTGCTAAGTTTTCTTAAATAATTATAGTGAGCCAGTATTGTTTGGCATACTTCTTTGACTTTTTAGCCCTTCTTTGGCTTTGATCATCCAGAATTAAGGCTTGCTCTCGGAGTGGCATCCTCATGAAGGATTTACCGAATGCAAGGCAAATTCTTCTCTGTCTTGGACAATATCTGGAGTGCTACCTGAAAAGAAATGGTCTTGACCCGTGCATGGCCTTGAGTTCAAAGTGAGGAAGTTGTCCTGTTGAGACTGGGTTTTGGTCTATGCCCTTTGTAGATGGTAAAGATTCATTTTTATAAAAACAAAAGAGCCAAATAGGTTGCTTTTAAGACTGAATTAGAGGTTGACTTCTGTAGGCTCCTTCAGGCCCTGGGATATCATGAGTATTTTACAGTTTTGCTGCCTTGGTTTGGGTTGTAGGGAAAGAAGAAGGAGAAGGAGAAGAAAAAAGCAACACTGTCTCTAGTGTGGCCCAAACCAATTTCTGACCTTTTGATGCACGTTTCTAGTATCCCGCAGAGGTCTCTGCTCATAGTCAATTAGGATTTGATAGTGACTGTTTATCTTCTTGCTCTCCAGTATAAGAAGCACCGCTCTTCTCATGCGCATACCAACAACTTCGCAAAGTCTGTGGTCAACCTGGTAGATTCTGTAAGTAGCCTGGTTTTCTTGAAACTTCTCTTTGCTAATTGAAAAGGCATGGCTTATACCTCCTTCTCTCTATTCACTGATTATATTAGCTATTACTTGGATGAAATAAAAAGTTTCTTCACATACATATCTATACATATTCATATTCATATCCTGGTGAATAAACTGTCGGATGGTAAGCTTTGTGAAAAGTATTCTGGGCTTTAGAATTCTCAGAATCCCCAAGATACTTCAGCATTGTTTCTTTCTTTTAAGCTTATTGACTTTCATTAATTCTCATTTTAATTCTGTGTATCTGTGGGGTGCAGTGTAATAATTTGATACATGTGTACGGTATCTAATGAGCAAATCAGAGTAGCTAGCATCGCCACCTCCTTCAACAGTGAGAAATTTTTATTAACCCACAGTAATTGTATAGCATTGCCTCTGCTGGTACCAGAGTCCGTGGGGGATAAAGAGCAATGGAGGAAGCCTGTAAAGCTGGAAATTAGCCTCCGCAAATGGGGCTTTATTAATAACTACTTGAGCTTTTCCTAAATATTTTGCGTAAGTCGAGAAGTTCTAATGGATTGAGGCAGCATGTGTTTGGAGGGTTGAGATAGATAAAAATTTCAAGGCCATGTATTTATTATCTTAATTCTCCCATGGTGGAATATTTCAGACTTAATTTCTAGTATTCTAGGTGATAGAATTGGGTGTCTGTCATCACCTCATAAAATAATTTGAAGTGATAAGATGTCTACTTCTCTCAAAGAGGATCCGACCCTCCGTATCTTCACTGTTGACATGCCTTTCCCTTCCTGTCCGCTCCTAAGTTCCAAAGAATGATCATTTAGACTTTCTTCTTGTTCCCGCCTTAGGTAGTAACCCCACAGAGCTGGATCCCATCCCTTATGTCCCGATAAATAATTCAATTTGACTCACTTAAATGAATTTATGTATTCTTCTGTGAAGTGCTACTTTGTTAGGTTAAATATATTTTTATCTTGTACTTTTTTTTTGTATGGTCCCTCTTAACTGTGGAAAAAAAAAATCCTTTTTATAAATTGCCGAGCATCTCAATGCTACTTACTCACTCTGAGGATCTGCCTTTTAAACAGCCCCAAACCACCCGTCATGTAAATATTCATAACATATTTTGTGCACCTAGCATATGTTATGTGCCTCATAGGCACAGCTGACAAAATTGTAATATGAGTTGATGCGCATAGAATATGTAATATAAAATTAAGGTTGAGCCCCTGAGCGCCAGTTTACATCTGCCTTATTACTTTTCTTTAATTTCAGCTCTTGTCATTCTGCTCACAGGAAAGGAAGGCATAGACGGATATGGAAAAGAGAATCTTAAATACACCTTCTTCCATGCAAAATCTATTTATTAGGCAGCATCTCTGCATCCGGAATCTCTGCATGATTGAGTAGACTCATACTTTACAAAATTTAATTTTAGTTTGTGCTATATTTGTAAAGTTCCGAAGCTAATCACTGATTACACTTAACTCATCCTTGCGTAAAGTCACTATAGCATCAACTTTTTGATAATATCTTTATTCAGTGGCTTCAAAGACCATTCATTTGTTTTCTTAGATAGTTTCAAAGTAAGACAACATGGCAACTCTCACTGAAGCTGCTTAACTATGTGCGTTATTTATTTGGCCCAAAGTAGAACAGAAGCACAGCAAACTGTGTGTGAGTGATTCCACTCTGCAGTGAGGCTGACATGGGTGATGTAAATCTGTTTGTTCCCCTCTCTTGGCCTCAGCTCTGAGATTCACTCTGAGGATTATTACGTTGTGTGGCAAGGCAGCTGTACTGTCTGATGAACTGTCCTAACGCTGCAGGTTATATTGCACGTAGAGTCACTATGTCAGGCTTGGGCTTCTCGCCTCCTGTGGGGTTTGGAAAGGTTATTTTGCTGAACCCTGTTGTCAGAGCAGGTCCTGACTTGAGAATCTTATCATCCTTGCATCCGTCTCATAAGATGCCAGGCAGCTGAAGGAAGGAATAATCTTTACGAGAGTAGAGAATACTTAATTGTATGAGTTTTCTTCTTTGCTTTGGCTCTTGGAAAAGAGAAATTGGAGCCGGTTCTGTGTGATTGGCTAATTCTGACCCGTGTTCTCTCACCTCCCCCCTCTTCCCTTCCGCTGACTGACTCACTGATTGTCTGACCCAGTGTTTTCCTCCGGCACCTGTCCTGTTGTATACCCTCAGATTTACAAGGAACAACTCAACACTAGGGTTGTCCTAGTGGCCGTAGAGACCTGGACTGAGAAGGATCAAATTGACATCACCATCAACCCCGTGCAGATGCTGTACGAGTTCTCCAAGTACCGGCAGCGCATCAAGCAGCATGCTGATGTGGTCCACCTCATCTCGTATGTGCTCGTTCCCATGGTTACTGCAGTTTCCACTCGGGGTTTCTCTTTATCTCCGCACGGTATCAGGGAGCAGTGACTTCTGCAGCGTTGCTGCTGGCCCCCTTCCCCCCTTCTCTGTTCAGAGAGGTGGAATTCCAGGGCTGGCACGCTGTGGTTCTGTGGCCACTAACTCTACCGTCTGACCACAGAGCTCCCATCCCATCCTCCATCCAAGTTGCTGCTGGCACTGTTGTCTTCAGTGCAGGCAGCAGGAACGCCAGACTTGGAGACAGGCTTTGCTAGACCATAGTCACATGACCACACCTGGCCGTAGGAAGTCTAGGAAATGCCTTTTTAGAAGAACCATTGAAAACAGTTGTGTTTCTGCCACTAAGGAAGAGGCCTATCCTTCTTACCCTTTTCCTCTTCCCCTCTCAAAGCTGTTTCCAACCTGACTCCATGGTTCTGTCCCGCAATCAAACCAAGCAACACCTTCCTTCCTTGCCATCGTTACCTTTTACTTCTTTCTCAGCCTCCATCAATTTATAATAAGTTAGCATAAGCTATTCTCTAGTAGAAAGAGTCAGTGTGTTTCTAAGAGCATGCATTGAAATATTTTTAAATCAGTTTTGATTTCCAGTTGAGGGTGGTGTTCAGGCTGTGAGGTGTGTGGGAGAATGCACGTGGGTTGGGAGTGTTATGTGGTGTTTTCTAATGGTGCTTTGTTTTCCTAAGGCGGGTGACATTCCATTACAAGAGAAGCAGTCTGAGTTACTTCGGAGGTGTGTGCTCTCGCGTGAGAGGGGTCGGTGTAAATGAGGTAACTTTCTTTAACTGGAGTTGTCTCTGCAACTGCTCCTCTTTATTCATTAAGACCCAGTGTATAATAGTGCATGCTCTGAATGCTGGCATTGACAATGTAACCTGGATGACAGATCAGAAAACAGAGCCCAAAGCCCTCCTTTAAGTTTATAGTCATAGCTTTGGATAGCATCATGGTAGTTTCGCAAAGTATAAAAATTACCTGAAAATAGGCTCAGAGATTTTTTTTTAGGCCTGTATAGCTGAGACGTCAAGTTTTTATAAACCTATTAATCTTTTTCCTATGATGCTTTTTAATTTTTAGTACTTTCCTGCATATATTAAAATTAACTCCTTAATATCAAAAGTTTACAAATTAAAGTTTGTCTCTCTATGCAAATTTTCATTTTTATGTTTTCTGCTTAAGTTTGGTATGAATGATAACAAATGTTTTCATGGAATTATTGTTTGAGTAAGTTTATTATGAAAATTCTTAATTGAAAGAAGCACCCCAAAGCTGCTCAGTGGGCGACCTTTCTTGCCATGTCTGCATTGAGTTTATCCTTAGCTCACGTTAGTTGGAGCCCAGCCTTGGCGACTTGTGTTTTCGGTTTCCATGTGAAAATCTTCCTGTACTCAATGCTTCTAGTGGCACCGTCTCAAGGGGGAAATGATTCAAGTCCTATGCTACCTTTAGATGTTGTAAAGCTCTACTTAGGGACTTGGAATGATAGTGACAACCGCTAAGGAATAATAACTGTGCCTGTGCACTCTCTCAAATGTTTCCCACACACTTTCAACTCGGAAAACCAGTACGGTCTTCCAATGGCAGTGGCACAAGTATTGTCTCAGAGCCTGGCTCAAAACCTCGGAATCCAGTGGGAACCTTCTAGTAGAAAGCCAAGTATGTACCGTGACTTTCTTACTTGAGTCCATGTGTAATTCTGTCTGTGTAATGCATGTCCAGTCATTGAGAATGTTTTATGCCCTAAGTCACTGTAGTTTAATGATAGTGTTATGTCATTCCTTTAAAAAAAAAGTCTTGAAATAATTATTAGACTATTTAGGTGGGAGATATTTCTCTTTCAAAATCCATAAGCTCATACTTCGTCTGTTCTTTCTTATTGAGACTGTTGAGACAAGGTGGGGTGGTGGTTGATTGATACGCTTCTCTGAGTCCTAACCATAGACACCACATACCAGCAACAGCTCCATGGAAAGTTTATCAAAGATACAGTGGACTGGGAAGGAGCTAAGGTCTAGCGGACAAGGGTCTTATATTTGAGTGCTCACAACCCCCTTCCCCACATAGTTACATCCAGAAAGGTGAGCCCCTTGCTCCCCTTCCTGGAAAAGCCTGCCACTGGCCTTTTAAGGTTGGGATGGGTGGAGAGGGACAGACTAGTCCTGTGGTTCAGAGGTAGGTCCAAGAGGGAGTTCATCCATGGCCTCTGACCCATGCAGCAACCAAAGTAAAACAAGTGGTCATTGATATCACTTCATTTGGTCAATGTTTTTGTTGACCAGATGAGAAAAGGAAGGAAAGAACCAACTTTTCCAGTAGACTGAGTAGTAAGAGCCATCAGAGATTTAGAAGCTTGTGGAAATACCTTATTTCTTTTTAAAATCAGGCTAAAGTCCACACCTCATTTCTTTTAAAAGCAGGATAAAGTCCTACCTGAATTATAGTCCTCTTTGTGCTAGCGCAGTAGTCAAATATAATTTTGAAAAATTTTTGTGGATAAAAGGCAAAACATCACAATAGGACCTTGAGGAGAAAGAGAGCAGCATGTTCGCCCATTGTCCATTTAATGAGAAAATAAGCTGAAGTCGTCATCCTCTTACTATAATCGTGAGAGCCAGGAGTAAGAATCTCTTTTCCCACCGAGACTTTCCCAGAGAAGAAAAGGAAAATGCATTATCTTGCTTGCTGTCCTCTGTGTGATTAATATATAGCACCGTGGGGAAGTGGAACAGCATCTTGTGTCCACAGGCTTGATTCCCTTTATGAGTAAGTACATTAATGACCAAGCACACAGTCACGACAACACCTGCAACATTTTGCAGCTCTCTATAAGCTTTCTTTACTAATATCCTGCTCAGAGCATGTGCTTTCTCGTGGCAGTGGTTACGCCACATTAAAGTTGTAGAACCTGGCCCAGATAGCACAGAATCAGTACGGAGAGTCACCAGGTTTAATAACTTAATTGAAAATCTTGGAGGCCAGTACTGGGGTCACCTGAGAGGTGTTAATGGATTGGATGGTGTAGTAGCATAGGATGAGATTGCTCTCCAAGTCTCTGACTGATTCTGGTGGTGACTCCAGCAAATTGAATTTCTTTCTTTAACTGCTCGGTGTCTGAAGGACTTTGGTGACATTGTACTGTATTCTTTCAGATCACCCAGGGATGCCATCTGTGTCGACCCTGGAACCACTCCGGGAGACAGGCAGAGAGACACGGCTTTCATTTTAGAAGCAGACATCCCCCCCTCCCCCCACCCCAAAAAAGAAGAGCTGAGTGGCTTCCCTATTTCTTAGCTGTAGATTAGAATCCAGCCTTTTGTTTCTAGCCCATCATACTTGTAACTAAGCATTGGGTTTTATGACTCTAATTGGCATGTCTGAGTTACAAAAACCAAAGAGAGGCCCAAGTTTTTTCTTAGGAAGCAACCTATATTGCAGGCATAAGGAGCCATTGATTTAGAGAAAAGAAAGGGGGCTTTGCAGGGCGCTGCTGTGGTGTGGAGTGCCACTGAGGAGGTTTTGCAGGAGCTGGAGCAAACTGAAGCTCTGTCTTTGTTTTCCTCCCTCCCTTTGTTGCTCTATTATTCACCGGACTAGAATGTGAATGCATAGAATCCTGGGGCGGCTGCATCATGGAGGAAACAGGGTGAGTCTGCATTACTCTTGCATTTGCTGTATGCCTGTTGCAAAAATTGCTGCATATATAATAATTAGAAACACAGTCTCTCAGGCACTGGTCTTTTAGACTAAGCACTTAGTATAAATTCAATAATTAATTGTCTGATATTTTAAAACTGACAGTGCTAATTCACTTTATATTTTTAATTTTTAATTTAAGGCTGGGGAGAAAGTGAAATGGATTGGTTACTTTTATTTATTAACCCTTACAGGAGTCACATGACTAAACACTTCTGCATTTAGGGGAGGCATTAATCTTTTAATAAACTTAAAATAAAAGCAGATGGTCTATCAGAAGCAGTCAGTGAGAATCAATTCAGTCATCTATTTATATTATTGGGAACTTATAAAAGTATGTTTATGGTAATAAATTTGTACTATATTGTTTATGGAGTCAACAGAGCTTTTTAAATTCAGTTATTTGGTTAAACAAGAGAGTTGTCAAGTGGTGGGCAGTGGTGGACAATCCACATCAATCCACCTGTTGTCCTTGGTGGGCACTTTTGTAACTGGACCAGCTGTTTCCTAGCGTCAGTGTGCTGAGCCCTGGGGCCACTGCGGTCTCCACAAGACACAGGACTGTGCAGGCCGACACTAGGCCTCTGGAGCTGGAGGAGGAGAGGTGTCTCTTGCTCTCTTTGTTCAGGCTGGGCACCTGCATGCTGGCAATTTCTAGTCCTACCTTTGTTCTGCACTGGCTACCAAAGGTGCCACCTCCTTCTACAGGGCCCCTTCCTTCTTCTTCTACCAGACCCTGGAGAGGAGAAGGTTTGTACACTTAACCGTTATCCCCGTGAGTTCAAAACATCTTCCTAGAAGTGCAGTCTCGTCTGGACATGCTTGCCTTCCCCAGCCACATTACTGTGTCACATGGTCGAGTCCTGTATGGTGATACAGGTTTAATAGCTACCGTAGAGGACAGTACCATTTATAATTGTATGGCAATATTATTGTCTTTTAAACTGTTGATTTCTAAATGAATTTTGGATTGACTACTCAAAAGATAAAGAAAACTATTTGAAGTTAATGTATGTGATATATATTTGATATAGTTCTTATAAGACATCACTGTCAATAGAGGTGAGTTTTAATCCTATATGTACCCTCATATATCAGAATACATAAACTATTGTATTATAGTCTAGAATGGCCTCTCACATCAGGCACTATTGCAGACGTTCCCAAGGAACCATCGCGTATGATGTAGCTTAACCTTGACGTGTGCATGCTGTTCCCTTGTGTACTGACATAGGGGTCTTAATTTGATTGAATAAATCAGAGAGAGGTTCATTTTTTATTCATGCTAAATCATGAATATTGCTCAATAATTGTATTTGAAATGAAGAATAAAGAGCCATTGCTCATGGGAACATGCCTTAATTCCTTTTTGCTGTGGGCGTACACACTGATAGCATATGCATGTGTGATCCAGCACATTCTTCAGGGTTTATTCATTTACTTAAAATTTGAATTATTGAAGCCTGAGTAACATTGTCTTTAATAAATCGACCCTCCTGACTCCCTCTTCCAACAAACAAGGTTTAGTGAGCTGATGAACCCCGTTTATTCAGAACAGATTAGAAGAAAAAGATTGCCTTTATTGAGACGTAATAAACAAAAATAATCAAACTTTAAAACCTAGCTTACATGTAAGGTTTTATCGCAACCCTTTCAAGTTGTGTTTCAAGACAGAGATTTTATGAGGGTTGGTGGAAGGGGAGTAACCAAGCCTCCAATTCTGTGATGGTTTTTCTTTTTCTTTCTTTTACATACTCTACCTCATATATGTAGACACTTGGGTCCACACGTCAATATTTGTACAGATTCGTCTACACCCAGAGTGAACATTTAGTGGCTTTTCATTTTCTTCTCTTACGATTGCTTCTCTGAAATTGCTTACACACTTGATTCTTTACTTCTTAAGGGTGTCCCACTCTCGGAAGTTCTCCAAGTGCAGCATCTCAGAGTACCGAGACTTTTTACAGAGGGGAGGCGGGGCCTGCCTCTTCAACAGGCCAACAAAGGTCAGTCATTTGGGAAGTGAAATTATTTTTCCCAATGTTTAACAGTAAAGAATGTGCCAAACATCAGCGATTTCTCTCAGGAAACGGGTCTCTGGTCACACGGATTAATAAATCGTTACAAGCTATCTACCTTTCTCGGCCTTCCAGATGCTAGAGTTAAGGTAGGAACTGCTATAGCCACCGTGGGAAGATGTTCAGTTATAGAAAGCCTCTGCATGCTGAAGACGGAGTAAGATCACCTGGGGCGTCAGTGTTCAGTGTTTGCTTGCACACTCCCGAGTCCCCCCAAAATGCATAAACTTCCCCAAATTTTTATGTTAGTGTTGTTACCTTCCCGCTGAGAGATGGGAAATGAGGATGAGAAGCCTTTACTTCCTTGAGCTTGTTCTCTGCCAGCAATCTCTTAACCTTGGCATTCTTTCTGGAGACTTATTTTCCCTCTCTTCAGGAGAGCCTCGTCTGTCTGCCCTCCAACCCCAACTCCTCCACCTTCTGGAGGGATCTGATCCAGGAAGGAAGCATTACTGACGTCAGTCAAGCCCCCCCCAGCCCCACCCAAATGATCTAACATTTACAGGTTCCGTAAACACTATAAGTATTTCTGTTACATAGTCCCCTTCCCTTGGGAACACAAGCTGTCACTGACATTTCATAGGTATATGTATAAACAATATTGCAACTCCTTAGCCACAAATTAAAAAAAAAAAAACATACACATTTCCAGAAGAGGTTTTTAGGAGTTTTCAGGAAACACATTTGACAGCAAATCTCCTTAATTTTGAAAATCTTCATTCAGTCCTCATGATGTAAATATTTATGTCTTGCTGTGGAAGCATGGAATTGTTGGTTTGTAAGATATTTGACATTAAACCCAGAATTCTCAAACTGACAAGCTAAAGCCTTTGCATAAAGCCCTGTGCTTTTTATAGGAGCGTGCTTGGAAATAAAGCAGGCCAGCAGTTGAAAAGATAGTGTTGTCTTTAGAATACACCTCATGAGTCAGGCGGAGTTCATTTGCATGGAAAGTGTTCGATATTCTCCAAATGTAAAGAGTGGCAATATCATGTCGACCTTTTCTTTAAAAAAAAAAAAAATGGTGAGGAAGACAAACAACGGATAGACTAATTAATTCCATACCCACAGCTGAGCGATACAGGTCAGGGAATGGAAGCCTGGGATCAGGCATCCCTGTAAAATCTCAGGGAAAGAAAAGCTCTGTGAATTCCGGAAAAAGAATTGAGACTTTTAAAGTTACTTTGCACTAATAAAATAGCCCAACAGCCTTTCCTGGCAGTGCCCGCCAGGCACAGGAACCAGAAGACTCCAAGGCGTTTGAAATGACTGGGATCTGTAATGAAGAGCTAATAGGAACTGCTGGCGGTTCTGAATCACACAGCGCACGGTTAGTGTTACCTTGCCCTGCAGCTGCCAGCTAATTGTAAGCACGCTGCTTGAGGAAACAAGATTCGCTTGTCTGGGGAGGTGAAGGTTGCCAGGATATATACACACAGAGCCGTCATTGCATTTCTCAGGTTACCTGTGCGCAGGAAGACAATTATCAAAAAATAACCATGTTTACATATTCAATTTCAGAAGGATACTTTCTCTTTTTAAACTACAAGTTACAATGATTAAAAAAAGAAAGAAGGCCCCATGGATTCCAGTGACTAGTTTAAATGCGTTTATGTTCAAGAGTAACTTTTCTCCCTGTGTTTCCAGCCAGTGGCTGCATGCATAGGCGTGCGTTGCTGTTCTGATCGGTTTAAATGCATGTTCTCCATGCTTTAGGAATCTTTTCAATTGCGGCGATTTCCGTCTGGTTTGAGATGGTGACCTATCTCAGGAAGGGGAAAGAGCCCAAGAAGCAAAGGCTGGGAAGCCTGGAACCAAGTGTTGGTTGTCTTTTAGCTGTTCCAGCCTTTTCTGTTTTCTCCTGCCTGCAAATCTAAGTAGCGCTGACATCAGTACTATTGACTCCACCCAGCGTGCTAGGAATGTTTCCTTGCTTTGGACAGCAGTTCCTTCCTGGAACTAGTAGAGCCAGGTCTTTCCTGGGTAGTGGAAAGTGCATGGCAGCGGAAGGGAACTGACGCCCACAGTGTATATGGCTGCTGGGGGCAGGCTCTTCCTCTCTTGTTCATGGCGTTGAGCATTTGTGTTGGGATGTGCTGTTCCAGATACCCACAACACACACGCACAAGAGGTGCTCAGACCCAGAGAAATTCTGTGCCCATAGGAAATAGACACATTTGTCATAAGCAATCAACTCCCCTAACAATTGCTCTGCTATGCTTTTATCCAGAAACAAGTTCATGGCAAAACTAGGGGGGAATATTCTAGAAACTTGCCTCTGTTATGACTACAGCAATGACTGAGAGAGTTCTGTGTATTCATTCATGTGTCTATACATCAACTTAATTTTTTCTTTATGAAACTAAATTGGGTATTAAAAGATGGATTTGCACATAGTTAATTGAATTAAACTCCCAGGTTACTGGATTCATTTTCTTTCTGCTCATAGGTAATTCAAGAAATGCAATGGCGGCACTTTGTGCCAGACAGTGCAGATTTCTCTCCAGTGAGTGTGGTGGATTTGAAGCTCTGGCAACATTGTTCTAAGCTTATTGGCATTTCCTTGATTGTAATTCTCACATTTGGCTTCTACTAAACATATTTGTCTTTCTGACAGTTTTGATATCTTCTCAGCTGTCTTCAGTCAAGTCAGCAAGTTCGATATCTATGGGTCTTATTAGTAATACATTTTTGCTCCATTAGGAAACATGAAAAGTGATCCATTTCTCTTGACGGCTTATCTCCGTCAGAAGTCACTCTAATGCTGAAGGGTATCTCCCGGGACCCCACTGAGGAAATTTTAGAGATCCCCCCTTTCTAACATGGTTTTAAGAGTGTTACTAATAAGCGGAGAGTATTCCCCACACAGACACAATATATAACAGTGGCCTGGAGTTTGGGTCTCTGCTCAATGCTGCACAGCTCACAACCCTTTTCTAATTCCAGCTCCAGGGGACCCAGAGCTCTTTTCCGGACTCTGTGGCTACCCAGGTGCTTGTATGCATACACTTACATCACTACACACATACACATAAGTAAAAAGAAACATGGAATCATAATAAATCATAGAAGAATCATACCACGGGTGACATAGCTGTGCCTGTGGCCAGGTTGGTGTGTGGATTTTCTGTGATAAATTCAAATGTTTCTCTTTGCATTCTCCCATCTCTTTCAGCTGTTTGAGCCCACAGAATGTGGGAATGGATACGTAGAGGCCGGGGAGGAATGCGACTGTGGTTTCCATGTGGTAAGTATAAGAGACCATCTCTACTCTCAGTGCGGGCCTTCCTCTGAGTTAACAAGAACAGTAGTGAGCAGCCATCATTCGTCATGGGGTCCTTGCCTGATTCTTTCCTTTTTCCCGACCACTTTGATCAATGCTTCATCCTAGCTCAGACACATAAGAATGAGCTATGTTGTTGTACGGCCTTGTCTGAAAAGCCTAATGGATTGTTCTAATCAAATTCCTGACCTTTAAAAAGTTACTTCAGGGCTCATACTCATCTCAGGCACCTTCTACAGAATCATCAACATTTTCCCATGCTGTGTGATTTTTTTTCCTTCATAAAACTAAACCTGGGCATTAAGAACATGGTAGAGTTACAGAGGCGTGGGTGTTGGGCCGGGGTCTGGTAAGGAGTCATCATACTTGTGGGAGGTCAGTCAGCTGAGGCGTGTGGCTGGGCTCTGTCTTCATTTACAGTGATTTACTCCTTTTAAATGCTAGCATACTGTCTGTAGAAGTCTTGTTATGTGATGCATAAGCTACACGTGGAGGGGGTGCAGGATGGGCAGTGGCATTGTCCTGGTTTAACTCAGAGAAGTGTTTTCTCTAGGAATGCTACGGAGTTTGCTGTAAGAAATGCTCACTCTCCAATGGGGCCCACTGCAGTGACGGCCCCTGCTGCAACGGCACCTCGTGTCTTGTGAGTCCCCTGGAAGTTTCATCTTTCTTCCCATGAGGTCTGCTGAGGTTTTGAGTGACTTGACACACATTTATGCGTGTTAGTCCTGCGATGCTGTAGAATCAGTAATTCTACCCAACTTCTGAGGCTCATAGCATTTCATCTGATAGTCATTCTGCACGTCCTCCCCTCCCAGGCTTCCTCTAGAGGGTGTATTTGTACATCCTCCAAACTAAATAAGTTGTCCTAGTAGCCCAGGTGAGCAGATTAAACTGTCAGACAGAAGGGAACAATTCAGTGGGTCTTTTAAATAATACCATCTGCCTCTGCCTTTCGTTCTCCAAACCTGATGCTACTTAGTTCTAGACCCACAGTAGAAACACCAGTGCTACAGCACCCATTCAACTTTCTGAATTCTTTGTAAAGTCAAGAAAGCCAAATGAGGAAGTATTTACCTATGTTTGCAAGCGTAGTGTGTGTGTGTGTGAGTGTGTGTGTGTGTATGTGTGTGTGTGTGCAGAGTCTTTCACCTACACTGACTTGCTAGTTACTTTTGAAAAATCATTTTAATACTTCTTTTTCTCAGATGGCAGATCCATGACATTTCTGATAAGTATAAAATTTATGAGATTTTATTACGTTTTTTCAATATCGGGAGGTTTCACATCATGATATTATAGAAGATTTCAGCTTAGTTTGTGGCTGCTTCACATTACCCGCCAAATGATATATTGCTTGAGGCTAATTAAGACTTCATATTTGCCCAGCCTTTGGCAGACAAACAAATGTTCTGTTTATCATAGGCAGTCATGGACGCCACTGAAGGTGATTTATATGGATTCATATGGACTGTAATTTTGTTGGGTGTATTTATGTAAAGCAAGATTAATACTAAGCTAGTGGACAGATTAGTGATGGTTTGATATACATATCAGTCCTTCAGGAAAATCTTAAATATTTAATGATGGTATTTTGTTCCTTCATGTTAAGCTAAACCAGTGTTTCTTCTCTATATAATTTTCATTGCACTGTTTTCTTAACACGTGGAGACAGTGGGTTTCATAGTCTTTACCCAGTAGTTTGATGCTCTTTAGTGTAGGGCAAGCATCTGAGCCTCATTTCTCTCTTCTTTTTATATTTGTTTTGTATTTTGAGACAGGGTTTCTCTGTGGCTTTGGAGCCTATCCTGGAACGTGCTCTGTAGACCAGGCTAACCTTGAACTCACATAGATCCATCTGTCTCTGCCTCTCAAGTGCTGGGATTAAAGGCGTGCGCCACCACTGCCCAGCCTGAGCCTCTTTTCTAACCTGCAATGATTTTACTAAGTTGTGAGACAGGTGGCTGATGATTATGATGAAGCGTTGAACTGTTGGTGGTTATAAGAATGCAGCCTTTTGGAAAGTCAGTTAACACCAGCTCCTAATGTTGGGTTTTGATTTTTAGTTTCAGTCACGAGGGTATGAATGTCGGGATGCCGTAAACAGCTGTGATATCACTGAGTACTGCACTGGAGACTCTGGCCAGGTATGGAAACTTTCGGCTCCTGTATTGTGTAACACACATTTTAATTCCTTTGATAAAGACTACATGCGTGAACTCGTTTTGGTTTCTTTATTTAGCTTTGTTCTCCAGATATTTCTAGCTCTCTACACCTATTACTTCAGGAAGTTTGGTATAGTGTTTTGGGATTTTCATCTCCCTTTTTTTTTTCCCTAAATGTCCCCTTCATATATATCTTTAGATGATTTATACTCAACTCATAAACCTTTTCCTCTAGGCTCCCACATCTTACATGCTGTTGTCAAGTATTTTGAACACATTTTTTAAAAACTAATTTTGGAAGGCAGCTGATATAGGAGACCAAGAGCAAGCAAAGCTTCTAACTTTCTGTCTCTCCCACTGTCCCCATGCATAGTCCTGCTTCTGAACCTCTGTGCTTTGACACGATTTTGGCCCATTAATATGATTATAGCACTGTAATTAATACTGACTTCTTGAATCCCTCATTGTATAATTTTTGTGCTTTTTATTGATAACATGCTATTTCACGTCCTTCTTTGCCATTCAAATGAACATCTGTGGAGTTACTTGCCAAGTACTGCTATAAATGCCAGAACATGGACGGGAACATGATTGTCCAGTCCTTGCTCTAGTGATATTTGTTTTTTGTTGTGTAGAAAGATTAGCAAGTTAATAGGGTTAGGGTTAGGGTTAGGGTTAGGGTTAGGGTTAGGGTTAGGGTTAGGGGTTAGGGGTTAGGGGTTAGGGTTAGGGGTTAGGGGTTAGGGTTAGGGAAAAAAAAGAAAAAAAAAGAAAAAAAAAGATTAGCAAGTTAAATATATATATGTGCGTATAAACGTGTACATATGTAATAAGGTGCTGTGTGAAGATGAGTGTGAAGGATATTATGTTAGGTCAATCAAATGAGCCTTCCTGGAGGAGATGGTACTGAAGTCTCTGTGGAAGGAATTAGTGTGCAGACAGTCACTGCAGAGGCATGGCTTCTTCAGGAAGTGGAATAAAAGCAGACAAAGCTTGAGGATAGTAGAAGAAGTTTCAAAAGAATTTCAGTGTTCTGCAGATTTAACCAATACCTAGCAACAAACCCAACCCTAAACAAAGTACTAGAAGGAAAACTCCAACCCAAGGAGGTTAGCTACATCCACAAAAACACAGACAATAGATGATCTCACAGAGGCAATTCCCAAAGAAGGGGAAGACACACAAAATAACATCACCAACAGTGAAAATTAAAATAACAGGAACTAGCAATCACTGGTCATTAGTATCCCCTAATATAAATGGACTCAACTCACCTATAAAAAGACACAGCCTAGCAGATTGGATATGAAAACAGAATCCATACTTCTGCTGCATACAAGAAACATACCTCAACATCAAAGACAAGCATCAACTCAGAGTAAAAGGTTGGAAAAAATTTTCCAATCAAATGGACCTAAGAAACAAGCTGGTGTAGCTATCTTAATAACTAACAAAATAGACATCAAGCTAAAATCAGTCAAAAGAGACCAAGAAAAACATTTCATATATGGCACAGAAAAAAAATCCATCAACACTGATCATCTATGCCCTAAATACAATGGCACCTTCATATGTAAAAGAAACACTGCTAAAGCTTAAATCACACATTAAACCCCACACGTTAACAGTGGGAAACTTCAGCACCCAACTCTCGCCACTGGACAGGTCTGTCAGACAGAAAATTAATAGAGAAATAAGGGAACTAACAGATGTTATGAATCAAATGACTTAACAGATACTATGAAATATTCCATCCAAAACATAAAAGAATATACCTTCTTTTCAGCACCTCATGGAACCTTCTAAAAAATTGAGCCATATTAGGTAACAAAGCAAACCTCAACATATATATAAAAAAAATTGAAATAACCCCACGTATCTTATTGGATCACAGTGGCTTAAAATTAGAATTCAACAGTAACACTAATTTCAGAAAGCCCACAAACATACGGGAATTAAATAATGCTGCCCAAATCACCAACTGATCAAGGAAGAAACAAAGAAAGAAATTAAAGACTTCCTAAAATTCAGCAAAAATGATCACACAACATACCTAAATTTATGGGACACAATGAAAGCAGTGTTAAGAGGGAAGTTTATAGCACTAAATGCCTACATAAAGAAGCTGGAGAAATCCCACACTAGTGAGTTAACTAAGCACCTGAGAGCTCTAGAACAGAAAGAAAGCAAACTCACCCAGAAATACTAGATGGCAAGAAATAATCAAATTGAGAGCTGAAATCAACACAATAGAAACAAAGAAAATAATACAAAGAATCAATGAGACAAAAAGTTGTTTCTTGAAGAAAATCAACAAAGTAGACAAACCTTTATCCAAACTAAAGGCAGGGAGAAAATATCCAAATTAACAAAATCAAAATGAAAAGGGGGACAAAACCGAAGACACTGAGGAAATCCAGAAAACCATCAGGTCATACTTCAAAAACTTATACTTCACTGAATTGGAAAACTTAAAGGAAATGGACAAATTTCTGGATAAATATTACTTACCAAAATTAAATCAAGACCAGATAAGCAAATTAGATAGACCTGTAACCTGAAATAATCACACAGAAACTATATTATTTAAATTATTGCTTGGCCCATTAGCTTTAGCTTGTTATTGGCTACCTCTTACATCTTAATTTAACCCATCTCCATTAATCTGTGTATCGCCGTGTGGCTCTGGTTTACCAGCTAAAGTTCTGTCTCTGGTGGGGCTACCTGGCTCCTCTCTGACTCCACCTCCTTACTCCTAGCATTCAGTTTAGTTTGCCCCACCTACTTAAGTTCTGCCCTATCAACAAGTCAAGGCAGTTTTCTTTATTCATTAATGGTAATCACAGCACACAAAGGGGAGTCCCACATCAAACAGCCATCAAAAGTCTCCCAACCAAAAGAAGCCCAGGACCAGATGATTTCAGCACAGAATTCTACAAGATTTTCAAAGAACTAATACCTTCTCAAATTATTCCACACAATAGAAACTGAAGGTACATTGCCAAAATCTTTTTTTGTTGAGGCTACAATTACCTGATATCAAAACCACACAAAGACATTACTAAGAAAGAGAATTGCAAACCAATGAAAATGCTCAGCATCCTTAGCCATAGAGAAATGCACATCAAAACAACTTCAAGATTCCATTTTACACCTGTCAGAATGGCCAAGATCAAAAACATTGATGACTGCTTATGATGGAGAGGATGTGGGGTAAAAGGAACACTCCTCTATGGCTGGTGGAAGTGCAAACTGGTACAACCACTTTGGAAATCAGTATGGCGATTTTTCAGAGAATTAGGAAACAACGTACCTCAACACCCAGCAATACCACTTTTGGGTATATACCCAAAGGAGGCTCAATCATACTACAAGGACATGTACTCAACTATGTTCATAGCAGCACTGTTTGTCATAGCTAGAAACTGGAAACAACCTAAATGTCCTTCGACCAAAGAATGGATAAAGAAATTGTGGTACATTTACACAATGGAGTACCACACAGCAGGAAAAAAATAATGACATCAAGAAATTGGCAGGCAGATGGATGGATTTAGAAAAACATCATATTGAGTGAGGTAGCCCAGACCCAGAAAGACAAATATCATATGTACTCACTCATAAGTGGCTTTTAGATAGAAAGCAAAGAAAATCCAGCCTACAGTTCACAACCCCAGAGAACCCCAGACAACAATGAGGACCCTAAGAGAAACATACATAATCTACATGGGAAGTAGAAAAAGACATGGGAAGGAAGGGAGGGAAACAGAGAAAAATAGATAGCCCAATAAAAAACAATTTAAAAAAGAAGATCAGGGTTCTGGCCAGCAGGGCCTGTGCACCACAGAAGGGACCTGAGATCTCGTTTGGCCTTCATTGTCTTTCTGGTGTGTCTTCCGAAGGCTCTTCTGTTGTTTTACTGTCACGTGATGCAAATATATCATTTGATTGTTATCCAGAGGTTACCAATTAGATTTTCTGTTTTTTTTTTTCATTGATTTGTCAGTATGGAAGACCTCCATGTATTTGTAGGACTATCTCTCAAGTAGGGTTATCTCTTTAGGTTAAGTCCGAGGACTTAACCGCTGTAAGATACCGTTGCTTCCACTGGGATCACAACGAATATAGAACAATTTGATGTCAAAAGTTCATACTATAAAAAATGAAAATGATCAGCTAGAGATAACTATACCTTAATACAAGGGCCACATGTGTCTCTTAATAGATCCTGGTTCGGATTGTAGTAACAGGTTACTGACACAGTTGGCTCCAGGGTGACTTCCTGCAGAGGCCAGCCCTTCCACAGCCTGGCAAGGCGGTGGGCATTGCTTGTTTCCTAACCATATTACACTTTCTGGCTCAGAATGTCTAATTATTATTTGCCAACGTATCAGTCAATCATTCCAGTGGTGGGGGAGCAGAGAGTTGACACTGTACTGAGTTTTATTTGCTCAAAGGGAACATGGGAAGAGAGAAAGAAAATACGCTAGCTAACCTTTAAAAAGGTCTTCATATTATTACCTGTGGCTCTATTAATTATATATAGCAAATGGAAATATGTCCTGACTCTTTTTATATGTGTGTCCTTCTTACACATCTGTCTGTCATATATAGATGTGTTAGCAGACTCCTTTGTGTAATGACAGAGGACAAGAACTGTGGATTCTGTCTTTCACAAGTCTAACTATCCTGACATAGAATTTGACTTTGTTGTTAGTTTTATAGAATACTATTGTTTTTTACAACTGCAACATGTTCCCTTGGCTATCATTCAGTCTTTTTAGAGGTACAGGTTTCAATTTCAATCTTTTATTCCTGAATTGCCACAGAGTTTGCTGGAAATAAGGATTTTGAAATGAGGATATTGGGGCTGGCTAGTGATTCAGTCGATGAAGGGCTTCCCGTGCAAGCCTGAGAACATGGGTATGCATCTCCAGCATCTTCATGAAAGCCAGAAGGAGTGGCACATGCCTGTAATCTCAGCACGGGAGGCAGACACAGGAGAATACCTTAGCAGCTAGTTTAGGTGATGGTGAGTTCCAGGTGAAGTGAGAGGCCCTGTCTCAAAACATACATGTGAAGTATGGTAAGAAGATACCCAATATCAACCTCTGACTTTCACAGGCACACATGGAGCCCAATGTGCACATACGTAAGCACGTGTGGGCACTCATGCATGCATGCACACACACACACACACACACACACCACAATACACATGTACTGATGCTATACACACACCTCTACACACACGTAGAATAAAATAGGGTCTCTTTGTTCAACCTATTTTATTGTCTAAGAAATGCAATTGTTTTTCTTTTTATCTCTTTTATTTTTGGTGGTGAAAATTGTACTGCTAAATTAATCTTTCAGTGAGTGGCACATTGGAATAGAATGCTATTTTATTAGTAATTTTAAAATCTGATCATCAGAATGAGCCCAAAGTAGGTAGATGAAGTAGAAGGACATAAAAGCCATAATATTTTTTTTCTGTTTTGTAAGGGACAAAGAATTTTAAATTTGTTGATACTTAGAGTTTTTATGGAAATAGAACCTTCGTATCCCTGAGAACCAATCCCTGTAGTGATGGGGCGAGCAGGCCTGCTTTTCATCCCTCCTGGCTTCCACACAGCTAACCATACACCCGAAATAACAACACACAAGTTCTATTCATTTAAATACTGTCTGGACTGTTATCTGTAGCTTCTTATTTGGCTAATTCTCACATCTTGATTAACCCATTTCTAATAATCTGTGTAGCACCACGAGGTGGTGGCTTACCAGGAAAGATTCAGTATGTCTGACTTGGCGGCTGGCTCCATGATATCTGACCTCACTTCCCTTCTTCCCAGCCTTCTCTTCTGTCTCCTCTGCCCACCTAATTTTCTGCCCTATCAAAAGGCCAAGGCAGCCTCTTTATTATCCAATGAAAGTAACACATAGACAGATGACCCTCCTCCATCAAATCCCTGAGAACCATGAGAAACAATGATATAACCATGTTTTTAATTCATTTTTATATTCACATTTACTTGTATCTCTGAATTCCTTTTTCTTTATTTTAAAACATAACAAAATAAAACTGAATAAGATGAAACAAAAACCATTATATTGAACAATCCAAGCCAAGAAGAAATTAAAAGAGCTCCAGGAGACACAACATTGGAGACCACCTGCTCACATGTGTAAGCATCCTGCAGCAGCGCAAAGCTGAAAGCTGCATTCTACACACAGAGGACCTGGTGCAGACCCGTGTAGGCCCTCTGCTTGCTGCTTCAGCCTCTGAGTTCATGTGAGCTTTGCTCGGTTGTTTTAGGGGGTCTTGTTTTCCTGGTGTCCTCCAGCCCCTGTCTCCTCCACTCCTGCCTTCTCTTCTGTTGATTTCCCTGAGCTCTGAGGAAAGGGATTTGATGGCAGCACCTCATTTAGAGCTATGTTGAACCCCTCGTTTATTTTTCACTGCACAGTTTATGACAGAATAATCAATACTAGAGCAACTGAAGGAAATTCTTGGCAAACAATACAGTGGCATAGCAAAGACATTTGAAAGCTGTGGAATTGGTCCCTCCTTGCAAGCACTAGTAATCAGTGGGGGTATTCCACAATTTAAAATAAGCACCGTTGAAATGCTTCAGGTGGATCTTGCTGCATGGCATCCCAGGTGGGCCAGGGGTGCAGTGGTGGTCAGATTCCCCAGATTTACTCCGGGAAGAAAGTGTCCAGATTTGCTCATGTTCTGAACACCCTTAGAGGATGTGAGAAGAACGGGGTTCCCTGTTAAACATTTCAGTGATGAGCAACTGCCCTTAGTGATTTTTTTTGTTTGTTTGTTCGAGGTAAGGTGTTATTTTGCAGTTCAGGCTAGCCATGAGCATTCCATTGCTGCCTCCCAACTGTCTCAATTACTATCACTGTGACAGCTCCTTGACTTATAAAAGCCAAACTTAGCAATGGGGACCAAAAATTCAAATACAAGTACCCATGGGGCCCTTCTCATTCAGACCACCGCAGCAGGTGTGCCCTGCCACACCTGTCTAACAACTGTCTTTTCTTAGCCTCAACTAAAAACAGATGGATTAGAAATGGGCTCACTTGTAGCTGAGACATTTATAATGAGGATTTTTTTTCCAGTAAACAATCTTCCTTTTTCCTCCTTTCCTCTCCTCTCCTCTCCTCTCCTCTCCTCTCC